TTTTTCCAATTTGAACTGAGCGTTCTTCTTCAGAAGGGCGTCGAGGGGAGCGCGAAGTTGGCATATTTCAGGAATGAATGTTCCGTAGTAATTCAGCATTCCGAGAAACGACCGAAGTTGTGCGATTTTGGCTCTCTCTAGCATTCTGTAAGAGCGCGAATCTTTTCGTGATCTCGACGTCGACTTGATATCGATGATGTTTCCAAGATACTGGATCTCTGACATCATGAAATAACATTTTTGTTTACTCGGAATCCGTATAGCTCTATTCGTTGCTTCCAGGTTTTGGCGATGCTCTCCATAGTAGTGCGTCCGGTGACGATTATGTCGTCCAGATAAGCTGCGACGCCGCGCCGTGCAATCTTGCTACCATGGAATCGTGTGTTAATCGTGAGTAGTTCCTTTGAGAATCATCGTCCACTTCGATTTGTAGGTATGCATCTGCCAGATCGATCTGTGAGAAAAGCTGTCCACCGTTGAGCTTGGTAAAGACTTCCTCCGTTGTTGGTAACGGATGTTGATGAAGTGATAAGGCGTCATTAAACCGGTGGAGAAATCCGCACATAATCGGATACTGCCATTGCTTTTCTTCACTACCACTATTGGTGCTGCCCAATTTGAGTGGTCCACAGCTGTGAGTACACCTTCTTGGATTAGGCGATCGATTTCGGCATTGACGGCTGGTTGGGAGGCGAACGGTACAGGTCGCTTGCGACGGTACACTGGTTGTGCCTCTGGTTTCAGGAATAGCTTAGCCTTCGTTTTAATACAGCGTCCAAGACCTGGGAGCGAAGACATTAGGGAACTGTGTTCTCAAGTGAGTAACAAGTTCGTTGCGATGGTTAGTCGAGCGCTGCAGTTGCTTGTTGACAGGTGTGCTGTTCTTTGAGCTGACGATAATCTGGCATTACACCAGTCGAATCCCAGGAGATCGGTAGCTTCTGTGTCATAGCAATTTCCTCTTTCAGAGAAGGTCTCTGAGGGATAGGTCTCTGATGTCGATCGCGGTGAACCATTAGCTGTCTTCACTGTTGAGATGCCTGGACGAAGAGATGGGGATCCAAATTTGGTCCATGATCTGCGAGATATCATTGTTATGTCTGCTCCAGTGTCGAATTGTAGGTGGGTGAGCTGGCCACTGATGCGGACTTTCATGTAGGTTCTTGCATCTTTGGTCATGACGTCCACGTTCTTGCATCGAAGCTTGCGTTTGGAAGATCGAGCTCTTCTTTTCTTTGTCGACACGCTTCTCCGATTCTGTTTCTCCATGCTGCTTTCTCGTTCTTTGGAAAAGGAGCGCCTTCTGAAACTGACGTGTTTTGGTCCAAGTCGCTTCTTAAACGGCTTTACTTGGTGAGCGGCGTTTATCTCCTTTGTCTCCATCGTTCGGTTATCTGAACGCAAAGTGACGAAAGTTTCACATTCTGCGATGAAATCGTCGAGAATTGGGAGAGGATCCGATTCTTTGAGGCGATTCATCTTGTTCAGGAGTCGTAGACGCATCTCTGAATGGGAAGTGTCGGTGAGACCAGCTACAAAGACAAGACATTTGAGTGATTCGCTGTCAACATCCTTCATACATGCTTCCTCGAACTTCTTCTTGATCGTGTTTCCGAAGTCGCGGTAGGGTACATGTGATCCGCTTATTGGAGGACAGGATGTCTGCAGGAACTCGAATCGACGGCGAATAAGAGTCTTCTTCGGTCCGAATAGTTTGGTCAGCGTTTCGACAGTAGTGGGCAGGTTGATGTCCCGTGGTTTCAATGGCTAGACGGGTTCAGAATACGTTTTTTTGTCTAGTTTGTCTATGATGAAGGTTTCGCTTACGTTCCCCTAAAAGCGAGTTTTTTCGGTCCGATTACTGGTCCATATCGCTTGAACCGCGCACTGAACGTTGAGTCGTCGTCTTCGTCATAGTTAAAGTATGGAGGTCTCGCATGAGGTCTCCATAGACATCTGAAAATGCTGCTTTTTCAGAAGACTGAGCAGATCCTACCCTTTGCTCCACAAGTGCTGCCAGTAGCTGATGGACTGCTGACTCTAGCTGCTGAGACCCGTTCTGCTGCTGGACTGGGCCATCCTCTGGGGCCCGTCTCTTGAGACTGTTGGAACACTGCTTGGCATGTTGGAGTCTTCAGACGGCTGTTCATTAAACTGCTTCCGCGGGTGTTCTTCTTAGGCCTGATCGCCAGTGTTACGACTTCGGACGAGAGTGCTTTATTAGAGCAACGAGACAATTGACAACACACCGCACAGAGGGTCTTTCATAGACCCGAGAAGACCTATTACTGCATAACACTATGGGTGTAAACAACCACTCATATTATCACTTAGGACAGTGACCTCATAAGCATTGAGCGGTCTACCACAACATTACAGAGTCACCCCGCCAAAGAGTGGGGAGGAAATTTCTTCGCTGCATTCATGAAGGATGTCGTTCACTACACAACAATGTCTTGTTGGCATCAGCGCCTGAACGTAGGAACCATCTTATTTGAAGTTAGTCAAGTGAGAGTCGATCACAGAAAAGGAAATGGTTACCGTTTGTTCTATATAGACACAGTCGAAGGTAACCAAGTAACGTTCATACGGCAGCGATTGTGCATCTTCACGACCTCGGGGAACTCTTTCCAAACGAATACTTCATGACTAGTGTCGGTCACACAATGCGAGCAGAACGATCGTGGGTATGTATCCTATTTTTTACAGAGGGCCTTTTAAAGGAACGAGAGCGCGATGCCTTATCTAAATCATACATCTGAGGTAAAGAAGGTTATTCAAATGAGCAGCATTTACTGCCAAAAGCGGGAATGTGTGAGGAAAAGCTCCACCGTTTTATTGCCGGGACTTCCAATGAAGTCCGCTGGATACTAATGCAGCTGTGAGGACCATAGTCTGCTTTAGCGAACTTCAAAAAGTGAAATACATCCTTACGTTTCTCTAAATGCGCCCAACTTCTCCTTACTCCAAGATAATGCGCATTCACGCTAGGAGAAGATAACAAACCAAATGAAAATGGATTCAAGTGGAGAAGGATGGCTTCTCACATCGTACACAGCAGACAGCTGCCTCCAGTCCATTCATCCCTCGAGGATAAAGAGTTTTAGCCGAAGCTGGGTCGAGCATGAGATCAACCGCTTTTTCTCATGCATGTTGTCACACTTTTTGAAAGAGCCCGGTCGGGGATCTACCCAACGGATGAGTAGGAGTCCTAAGTACTAACAACTTCTCTTTGCTGACTGAGGCCTTGCTTGAGGTAAAAGCATTATATTAATCGTCTTTTATTTATTCCAGAAGATCCGTTCCTTGTCATTCCGAAGATTCAATCGCGTGGCTGTCTGCTTGTTGTTCTATATGTGGTGGATGATGTGTGGAGTAGCGAGCAGCGGAGGGTTTGCTATTCTGATCATTATTTTTAGCTCAATTTCATAGAGGTCATGCATGATTTAAAATGGCTAGCAATATTTGTACACCCACACGTTGTCAAGGGTACAAGTCGTCCAACATATGCGATGAAACAGGCATCTTCGCAGCTTTTTTGATTTTTTGCGCGGGTAAATTTTATTGTGCGGCTCATTTATTGGCCTTTACAAGCAAATGTAAGCACTACGACGAACTATGCGGTGGAGAAAGCTGTTCGCCCTAATCAAGGTACGTGCAAAAACAGGCTTGCAATTAAGCCTTCCCTATATGTGTGCTCATTTGCTCACGACAAGTGAGGTATCACATGAGCTAGAGAAGTAGAAAAGGAGGTTTCAAGCAGGATCTCGGAACTGGCATCAGAAGCAGTATGAGGCAAGGATTGAGATTATGAGAACGTTTTTCTATCAAAAATGATTTCGAAAAAAAACTATTCAAGGCTTCTTGCGCGACTCGAACAAAGAGCGAAGTAGAAACTCAGAGGTAGAGCTCACTATCCTTCATAATTATCCAAGATTTTCGTAGGGAGACGTAGTGTGGAGTGCAGTGAGCAATACATTGATACAATTCACGTCAGAAAGTGGTGAGGTAGCGTCGGTCAGGTACATGGTTTCTCGAGTGACTCCGCCCACGTTGATAGATGGCCCGCTGTCCCGCCCTTTCGCGTGCTCTATCACTTATTCTCTGTCCTCATATCCACATCCAGATTTATTTCACGTTTGGCGCAAGTATGACGCTTACTTGGAGCGTTTTCAGTGGTCTCCTCTCCTTTGCTCTTCACGGGCAAATCAGCCAGCATACACACTTTTGTTTCTAATCCAGCCTTACAAACTTTTTGCTGGCTGATAGTGAACTCCGCCTTTGAGGTTATCTGCTCCTATAACGATGGCCATGTATGACTGGACAAATGAAGAGGCGGTTCTCTATAACGGCATCATTCAAACGATCTCGTGTGCAGTATCAACTTTCAGCTACTTCATCATTGGGTCAACTCGAGTAGGACTTTTGTGAGTTGTTTCAGTTTTTTGACTAAATTCCTGAAAGTAATAGAACACGACTGCATCTTTTCAGGGATCGTCGGATACACCTTTTCTTAGGTTTGGCAGGGTTTACTTTCTACCATTTGTGTCATTATCCGATGCCATTCTATGACGGCCCGCTACACCAAGAAGTATACGGTCAGAATTTTTCGTGCGGATTTGTTCGGTTTGAGGTGGGATTACTGAATATTTGCTGTTAATTGCTACACCTCGCACCTGGGCACATTGACGAAAGAGAAGAGGTCATATGCTTGAGTTAGTAACGTCTCATTGCCGGCAGCTGATAATCCTGGATTCTCACGGTGTTGTTTGGTAAATGGGATTTGCCCACTCCCTGTAGCCTTTTCCTCGGACCCGGCTCTCAGTCAAAAGTATGTTGAGTGAGTCACATATAGTTCTGCTCGCATTATCACATTCTCCAGAAACTGCACAATCGCCCTCATATGATACCAGATATACTGCAAAATGGTACTGGAAAATGTTGAGTTCCATAGGGAAATGAGAGTGGGAAAAGGACCACGATATTTAACAGTGCGGGAACAAAGTGGACACTAAACTGGCTAAAAGTGGCTTGAATCGGAAACCGATCAGCTGCATAGTTTGCGGGAACAAAGTGGACACTAAACTGGCTAAAAGTGGCTTGAATCGGAAACCGATCAGCTGAATAGTTCCTCCCTGCCTGGAATGAACACTTTGAGTATCTTTCTACTCACAGTGTCCGACGGATTTTCACTACTTTGTTATACCGAAGAGTACTCTTGAAAAGATCTGGATGTACGTAAATGCCGTGAAGACCACTTCCTGGGCATATGCAGGGGTTGCTCGTTGAATCGCTTTCAAACCCTTCGATGAGGTCAGCGGACGATATTCAATAACATTGTTGTCTCGCAAAACCTGCTGCCAGTGTCAAATGCGGGCAGCCCTTCGGTCGTGGACTAAGTATCGTTAATGTTCTTAAAGTTCTCTAAAAAACTTTCACACGGGACGACAATCTTTCGAAGCTGACTAGACCATGGATGTAACTGCTGCATGTTTATGCAACAGCGTGCCTCACATTGAAGATTTGAGGACCATCAAAAAACAATAATGCCATTTCTCGGCCTAAACTTTGGACCCTGTAGAGATTTTTTGTCTTTCGTACTTTCACACTTTTCCCTTAGATGGATCTAACGAAGCTCAAGCGTATGGTTTGAGTGAATGTCCCCATCATCATCTCCAACATCTCTAGCTGCTTCCAAAAAGTCAATCTAAAGTGCCCAAGAAAGGAAGACAGCAAGGAAGACAACAATCGGCTCGACCAGTTGGTTCAGGGTTTTTGACCAGTGCAACTCATTTGGTATCCATATTTCCAAGTGTCTCCTAAAACGTAACATCGTGGAGAGGTTATCATTTGGGTGCAGCCTAGAAGTGTTGGCAGCTTACAGGCTATTTCGCTTCCTTTCAAAGACACGTGGTACGCTCAAACAAATTGAGGGTGTATGAGACTATCAGCCCCCCAGCTGTCGATGTGTCGTGGTCCCCCG